ATTGGCTGGTTTCCATCGGCCTGCCCATGTACGCCAGCGCCCTCACGGAAGCGGGCTTCAGCACACTGGGCCAAGTGCCTTCTCTGTCCCACACTTGCCTTCAGGAGGCCGGCATCACCGAGGAGAGACACATAAGCAAGCTCGTGTCTGCAGCCAGACTCTTCAAACTGCCACCAGGCCCTGAGGCCATGTAGCCAGGCCGGAAATGGACCTCCCTGGACAAGAGCCACCCTTTCACTGTGTCTATGATGCTGATGCAATTCCTCCTTCGCTGGACACGCAGACCAGACCCAGAAGAGAGGCCCAGTGTGTGGCCAGCAGAACTCAAAGTCTTGGCTCGGGACCGATGAGCCTCTCTTCTCCAGAAAAGACCCCTCCAGGAAATTGGTGAGATTCTGTTTGGCCCCCAAAGAAAAGACAAGCACTTACTTTTATTTTCAGGACACAACACAACCAGCATGCCAACATGCCACAGATGCTGTGCCCGCAGTCTGTCCGGGTGTGCTGGGAGAGGGCTGGGGGCAGAGGGAGGGCAGCCCGCTCCGTCTCTCAGCCTGCAGGGCACCCGAGGCCCAGGTGCGCGTTAGCCAGTCCAAAGTAACAGACTCGGGAGTGACTGTACACTGTTGACCAGGCTCACTTGCTCTAAAGTAAGAAAATCTGGCTGCACTAGGGGAAAAAAGAAAAGTCCTATTCTCCTTTAGATAAACCAGAGACATTTTAATAATTGCTTTCTAGCAATCAGCTTTTATTTGCCTTAATGTAAGCTTTTAAGCAGTTATCTAACTCGTGTTCACTCCTCTGTAACCATAGTCCCAAGTCTTCAGCTTAGACTGCCATCTAACATAGCTGGGATGTTTTCAGCAGAAATGGGCTTTTCTAATTGTCTCACTCTAACATGGCTCATTTTATAGGGGTGTTTATCAAGCCAAATTTCATGTTGACTTTCAGTTTTCTAACTACAATTCTGGTAAAAAGCTCCCTGAAACTCAGAAAGATAGCATGTATGAGTGTGTGTGTGCGCGCGCACGCGTGTGTATGTGTATGTGTGTATTTACGGTAACTACCTTTCATTTGAATCAGTTTAGTATTGTTACCGTGTTGGTCATCGTGCTGCAGTATTGACTTGGAATCTTGACCATGTCCATTCCAAAATTCAGTCATCTGAACAGACCACCTTTGCAAAAAGTCATTGTAAAGTTGAGTATTTAAGAAAGTTGTTTGTTTTTTTTTTAAGGGAAGTAGTTTATAAGATGTCTTAAAAGGTTTGGGTTTTATTTTGTTTTGTTTTATAATTAAAATATTGTTTTCCATCTTTTCTTATATAGATAATTCTCTTAAATAAAATGAAGGTTCATTTTGGAGCCAAGCAAACTACATTAGTCATGTATTAAGTAGTTGAATATTTTCAGTTGTTCTCCAACTGATTACAGCATCCTCTTTTAGTCTAGTGTCTGGTTTTCTAGCAAACAGAAATTTAGACAATTAAATTATTAAAGTTTCCAATTGTTTACAAAATGATTTTCCTTTACATTCTTATCATGAGCCCTATTTTAAGCATTGGGTGTGATCATTTACAATAGAAATGCTTCGAACACAAACCTTGATTAAAAAGTTTTATCATGTTTCATCTACTTATTAAAACAAATGATTTCCCCCAGGGGAGGGAAAAAAGGAGTGATTTCATTTGTTACAAAGCCATTTTAGCTTTATACACCTGGATCCGTGTTTCTGAGGAAAAGGACATTCTCAGGTGATATATTTTTTCATGCCTTTTGGTATGTATTTTTTTAAATAATATATATTTCTTCAATAATAGTCACCTTCTATAAGATGTCATGTGAAGAAGTTGTGGAAATGCAGAAGAAAAAGCTAAAGCTGCCAAATTTCTCTTGAACTCTTAAAAACAGCCCATTTTTGTCATGTGGGATGTGACATTCCTGTGAGAGCAGTCCATTCAGAAAGTCAGGAGGCTGCAGGGCTCTCCTGTAACCATTGCTGAAAGGACTTTCCGGTGCTGTGGTGAGATGGACGCTGTAAAACGGTCTCCTGAGCCCGCATTTTCGGTACCCCAGCCTGACATCCGAGAGAGCCTCTTCAGTGTCTAAGCTGAGCTGAAGACCAGATGTAAGTCAGGTAATAGACCACAAAGGAGAGGGGGGAATTGTCCGTGAACTTTCAAGTGTCAGTTCATTTTCCTTGTAAGATTTTCACTTAAGTAAAAGTGGCACCAGAAAAGGGAACTTTTGAGTATGAGTTTTTGAGAATGCCAAACTTTATTTTTGTCATTCTTCTTTGGAAATCATTGCCTTTGCCTAGAAAAGTCAGATTCAGGGACCATGGATAATTTTCAGTGGGAAGGGCTTCCTAATCTGTGGGGTCTGAGGTGGTTTTTACTTTCTTGTGCTTTAAAAAAAATTTTTTTTTCATCTTTCGTATTTGTTTGATCTTCTTTTGCTTTAAACTTTTAATTTGATCCTAGAAAAGCCTGAATGTTTGTGTGTGACATTTGACTGAGTTGATTTGGGGCTGCCTGTGGACTTTAGAAGACAGGTGGTCGGCTTTAGCAATATCCAGTTTCAATCCATTGCACTTGGTTCAGAATGTTGAGGAAGGGTGAAAATTGTTGTCTTTGGAAAGCACAAAAGAAAACCCAGCGAGGCAGTTTGGCTCAGGTAGCTACACATCCATTATGGGTAATTTTTCCTTTGAAGCTGTCTACAAGGAAATGCAGCCAGCCGAAACCACTATTGACATTCCCAGATAACCAAGAAGTAGGTAGATTTTTATGGCCTTACCTTAGTCAGAGGCCCTTTTCTTTTTCCTGAATTTGGATATAGGTGAGATTGGAAATTACTAGTCTGTTGGAAATCAGTTCCTGACAGAGCAAAGTTTGCTTTCATAATTGCAGCAAAAGAAAGTCAGTTCACCAAGTCAATGCTGCATGTGTGTACTGTATTATTTTCAGAAAAAAAAATATAGTAGTCTGTCCAAGTTATCTCAATTTTAAATTGCTATTAGAAACAAGAAACTGTCAAGCAAGTTATATAACAACTAACAACATTGCACTTTCTGTATATGAAATCAATATTTAAATAACTTATTTTTCTCCATTGCTGTTCTTAAACATTGTAAGTAGCTGTAATATACCAGTACCAACATGTCCTCGCGATTGCTTCAGCCCGAGAAAGCTGTGTATTGTTTTAAAAAATGTAAAAATTATTGTGATGATTCATTTAGCAAAAAGAGGTGGACAGAAGGGTTTTCCTATGTATCAAAACTTGTCTATAATTATGTCATCTATGTACCTAGAAAAAAAAAAGTAAATAAATTTCTTCAGTTGAATATGCCTCTTTTGTTGTTCCTTGGGTATGCCAAGGTAAATGGAGTAGAAATGAAAGGGAATTTATCAAGTGTGGTTTTCAGAATGAACCATATTGTGAAAATCGTTGTTCTATACAATTACTTCTGCCACATAACAAAAACTCACTGACACTCAGGTTCTCTTTGCCAAACTTTACTGCAAGTTTTTTTTCCCCCACAAATACTGCATTATTAAGTCATATAATCACAGCATCTTAGCCCACAGAGAGATTTTTGGAAGTCATCTCTATTCTAAGCCTATCATTTTCAAATGAAGAGTCTGAGTCCACACAGGTGGTTGACTTGCCCAATATCATGGAGTTAAATGGAAACAATCTATAAGTCCTCTACTGAGGGAGGAAAAAAAAATCCAGATTGGGATAGTCTAGAAATTAACCAACTTGACAAAAATCCTTTTTCAACATTGGTATACCGCAATTGACATAAAAACATAATTTTTATTAGGAGGGAGTGTGTCTGTAATACAAAAATTCTTAGTAGGTACTGTGTGCACTTGAGACAAACCAGTAAGTCACCCTGTACCCTGTCTTTTCTCCCAGCCACCTGTTTCTCACACTGCAGGTAAGTATTGTAACCAGTGTTTACGTATCTTTCCAGAAATGCTCTGGTTATTTATAAATGTAACTGCAGATGCATTTTTCCACACCTCTTCACCCTGCTTTAAATTCAGTGTATGGAGATCTTTGTCTCCATACCCCTCCATTCTCCTAAAGGCTGGCACGGTATTATATTATGCAGATAATTTTAGCCAGTTCTCTGAAATGACAATCTTTGCTTTTATAAGAAAGCCATTATGAATATGCATATACCTATGACACTTAGCAGGTGGAATTGCTGTGTTAAAGTTATGTGGATTTAAAATTTTGATAGATGATGTATACAAAGAGCTGTGGGAGCCAGTGGGAAACTGACTGTCTAGGGGGAGAAAAGGCCGGGTGGAGGAGGTGGCCTGTGGATTGTAACTGTCTGCTTATGTGCAGGGAGCGCTAGACTCTGTTTAAAAAAAAAACAAAAAAAAAAAACAAAATCTTAAAAAGAACAAGAACAAGAAAATCATTGAGAAAATATCTTCTGTGTCCCCAAACTCCTGATCTGCTTGGCCGTCATCATGAGTGCATCATCTCTTCCCTCATTTAATAGCAAAATTAGAAGTCATCCCCAGGACCTCTGGATCTCCTTTCAGCCCACTTGCAAAACTCCCCCACATCCTCCCCCAGTCTTTCCTCTCACTCCAGCCATGACAAAAGATGTGTCCCTCCCTCTGACTAATCCTAGCTGCGCTCAGAATCCTGTCCTGGGACAGCCAACCCCACCCCGCGCTGTCCCCCAGCACTGGATCCTCAGTATTCCCTCATTTCTCTGGCCTTTCCCCTCAAACGTGTTACAATAGGCTGTTGGTGTCTTCCCCAGGCTGGTCCCAAGTCCCCCCTTTTGGATAACCACACTTTGTATTTCCTTCAGGAGAACTGAACCCCCCACGTTTCAACGAATCCTAGTGCAACTGTGGTCGCCGTGTCCCCAGCGCCCTCTGAGCAGGGAGCACAGCCCCATTCAGCCTCCGTTTGCCCAGAGGGTTGGAGCTGAACTGCTGGTGGTGCCAGCAGAGCCCACGAAGCTCAGGAACTGAGGCACCCAAACCTCCTTGTCCAGCCTTCCTTTGATCCCTTGTGCCAACGGCCATCAAACATCGTTACTCATGTACCCCTAAAATAATATCCCCAAGCTAAGCATTCCCTTCACATCTTAAAGTTGTCCTCTGAAAGTTCCAAACCATAAGTTTAAATAATTGTAAGACTACACATTCCCAGCATTCTGTAAATGTTTGCATTTTAGAATAAAATTGCAACATTGCTTAAAAATACATATATCCAGTGGAAAATAAATACCACAGCAGTTTGATACCTACCATTGTTCATTGAAAGCACACAAGACAAAGGAAAATTTTACTCTCCTTTTCTCCTTGAAAGCCTAGAACCATCCTATTTCCTCCACACATTTTTATCCTAATGCAATATATTTTTTATGTGAGAGTGTCTTTTTGATCATCCTATCATATTTCCCTGTAATAAAAATGCTTGTGAATTGAAGTTTAATTTCTTTTTATCTGATCATTAGGCTCTATTTGTAACAACAAAAAAATTTCTGGCTTTAGTTATCCTTACCAAGATTATTATTAATGAATTTATCAATATACAGATAGATCACAATTTTTGATTAAAAATGATAAAATATAAAAATGTCTCTCATTAGTTGGATGGCATGGGTGGGTGGCTGCCTCATGGTCCCTTGATTATAGAAGATGTTGTAACCCCAGTTATTTCAAGTTTGCCCAATTGTTGGGAGCCCCAGACATTTTAAATAATATTTTGCTTTATGTGTGTGTGAAATAGAAGAATTTATGAAAGAGAAAGGAAAGGGGTGTCAGGAGAATGTATCCTCAGGCAGATCAATTTTATGACCATATTAATTTAGAAACATTATTAAAGCTATCCCGGGTCGTGTGCCCACTAGAAAGAATCTCATATTGAAGAACTTTGCAGTAGGCTACATGGGGTTCTTCCAGAAAGTTCCTTTTCTTGCCAGAGCTATTTGTTGCTTTTACCTGTGAAGAACGATAGATCAACCAGATCAGTGTTCATCATTCTTCACTTTAAAACTTCTCTCTCAACTCCACATTTCCCTGACCTAGATAATCCCGCCGCCTCCCGCCTCTCTCTTGCCTTTCACAGACTCATATCTGGAAAAATACTCCTACTCCCATAGTCTCTCCTTCCTTACCCTTCATAGGTTCCCCAGCCCACTGCTCCCTGATGTACCTGAGGCCACCACTGGAAGCAAGGCCCTGATTTCCAAATCCAGCGCCCACGTCCCTGTCCTGACCTCCTCGTCCTGTCCCTACCTCGCTGCCCTTCCCAAGTTTCTGCCTCTCACTCCTGTGCTCCCCGGTCTGCCTTTCCAGCAGCACCTCTCAGTGCCCCTCCCCAACCCGCTGAACGGTCAGGAACCGGTCAGGAACCTCAGACGTCCATCCCAGGGTCTCCTCTCTCCCACAGCGATCTGTTTCACCTTGAAGAGCCCACTTAGAGTAAAAGATGGAATCCCAAGCTTCGATTACTTAAAAAGAAATGTCATGCTTTTAACTAACAGGATGCTTATTACAATAAGAGCAAACCACATGTTGACACCGTCCCAGCTATTTTCTTGTTAGGCTAAACAGGCCTCCTCCGGCAACATCTCACTTAATTTCTGTTGTTTAAGTCACCCAATCTATTGCATTTTATTTTGGCAACCCAAGCAGACCCTGTAAAAACATAGGGCAGCTCATGTCACTCTTTTGCTCCAAATCCTCCAGTGCCTTTCCATTTCAGAGTTGGATAAATTGCGCACCATGGCCTGCCAGGTTCTGTGTAATCGTCTCCCGTTCCTATAATTATTTATTTCAATTGACTTCTTCCCTTAATGGAAGCACAAGAGATTGAACCCAGGACCTTGTGCACGCCGAGGACACACTCTACCACTGAGCTATACCCCCTTGTCTCCCATTTCCTATGTGGTCTCCCCCATCATTATGCCCTCTGTCTCTAATTCAGCCACACAGGCTTTCTTATTGGTCCTCACAGAGAGCAATCAGGATCTCACCTCGCCTTTGTAGGGGTTTTCCTCACTTGGAACACTCTTCCCCAGAAAATCTGCATGACTCACCATGTCCTGGCCTCCTCCCATTGGTCTCTGTTCAAAGGGAGATCTCTCTAAGTCCTGTCCTGACTCCATCACCTAAAATTGCACCCTCTCCTAGCCTTCATCTCCACCACTCCTGATTCTCATACCTGCTTCCACCTCCCCCTGGCCCCCGGGAGGCGTTGATCACCTAACATACTATGGAGTTTCTTTCTTTGTTACGTTTATTGCTTCTTAGCTGTCTCCTCATGCTACAGTTGAAAGTCCAGGAATGCACACGTTTCCTCTCTGATGAGTCTGAACCTCTACATTTGACACATAGTATTTGTTAAATGAATGACTGTCCCTGAATCACAAGCCCTTGAATCCTAAATGTTAAAGCTGGAGATGGTCTACTTTAATCTCAGTTTAGGGGTGAGGAAACAGACCCACAGGGTGATAGTAGCTGAGGTCATATGCAGACGGCTAGTGACAGAGTAAATCGATAAAAATGTAGACCCGCTCTACCTACCAAAGGCTTCACTGGAGCATGTGAGCATCTGTGCCATAGAAAGAAAACAGCAAACCAGAAGATCCCAGAACTGCTTCCAGCAAACAAGCCCTTGCGGAGTGACTAGTTGCTGCAGCTTGCGGCCACCAGAGGGCACTGATGGGCCAGACTGAAGGCCGAACCTGACCCTGCGGAGGGCTAGAAGTGGAGGAGGAATGCACTCGCCCAGCACAGCGGGAGGGGCAGCGAGCACCACCAGCGCCAAAAATGAAATTCGGCGTTGAGGAGGAGGAGGAGGCAGAGCAGGACCTCCACGACTCTCCAAGTTATCAGCGAGACCTTGAGTCTCGTAAACCTCCTATTAAAACGCCATTGGCGAACGATGGTGGAGACTGGTGAAATTCACAACCCACTTCAGTAAACACTGTGGGGCTCTTGTCTTCCACCTGATCACTCTTTTAATGACCGGAGAGGGATGACCGCCTGTTTGCTGCTCCTGGTGGGGCTGAGTGTCTGTGTGTGCACAGGAGCCCTCCTGCCTGTCATAGGAGCAAGCTGGGGGAAGGAGGTGTTCAGGTGACCCTGAAACAAAGTCCTCAACTTTAGGTGTCAAGCGATGAGATGGAAAACAGGCTTATTTTGGATTGAATGGTATTTCATTGCTCGTGGCCCAGAATAGACTGACATTATAAAAGCAGTGGCCAGAATGCAGTTGGGATGCTCACAGAACTCTGACATACAGGACAGCATTTGGCCTTCACACTGCGACTGTGCAGTAGATGCACTGATCCCCATTTT